AGTTTCTGATTACTGTTTTCTTTTTGCTTTATTTCTTTTCCCCTTGGTTCATAGGCGGTTCATATAATGAATTGTATCAATTGATAGCTTCTGAATGGTAGGTGGTTGAATAAATGATTTTATATCATGTAGTTCAATGTGTGTAGGGTCAATGTTGAATGTGGCAGAAAAGTAGGTTGAATGCATCAACATCAAACTCATTTACGGATGGCACAAATAATTGATGCCACAAATAATGCACAAATAATGTATGGCATAAATACATTGAATAATGCACACATAATGTATGCACAAATAATGAAAATGCATTGAATTTAAAACAAATATACATACAAATACATTGAATATACATACTGAAATGCATGCAATCAGTCCAATTATGAATATTGAAGATAAATCCTTACAAAAGCAATTATTCGAATGCACAAATAATGGCATGCATGATGAATCCCACGAGCCAGACCCTTACTTAATTGAATGCTTCATTTGATGAAAAAATTGAATGCTCCAATCCTCACTTCTTAAAAATGCCAAACCCTTAATCATCAAATCTTTTTAAAAATTCCAAACCTATTCCCAAAAGTTTGAGAATCACGAATTTGGTAAGAAGCTTTTTTTTTTGCCTTGATTTGATGAAAGAAATGTAAAAGTTTGAAAATGTAAAAGTTTGATGTAGATTGGAGGTGATTTTTACCAAATTTGTCATCAAATTTTAATTTGATAAAAGATTGAAGATTCTTAGGAAATGTGTGATTCACTGTTTAAGGATGGAAGGGAATCAATGAGTAATGGTAGGAATATAAATACAAAACACGAGACACATATGTCTCATATGAAATGTGATGTACATGATATGAGATCCACATATAAGACTCATTTCATGTAAAACATATATGTCATATTCTATATTTGATATTTGTGTTCCTAGACTTATTGGGGAATCAATAGTGAAGCAAACTTGCAACTCCAAAACAGAATTATAGAACTCCAAAACAGAATTGTCATACTGAAATAAATTATTTTGATGATTGTTATAAATTGAACAGAGAACAATTATGAATATTGAAGATTGGATCACCACAATAGCACATCTAATCACATAACTTCTGCGTTACTTGGTTAATATAGTACATCATAATGAAGATTACAAACAAGACAACCTTCTATTTCTTTACTAAACAAAATTACAAAATATATCTGTGGTGAATCTAGTTTTCACCGCGAAGATGCCACATATGTTCTATTAAATCATTACGGAGGGCATGATATGCATTTTTATCCCTAATACCTAAATGACGAGACAAAAATGATTCAAAGTCATTGGTAGGAGTAGAGGAAAGTTGCACTGGTGTGTTGGTAGATGAAATTTCATAATCAAAATCAAGGTGCTCCTCCCTCTCATCTTCAACAATCATATTGTGTAATATAATGCAAGTCTTCATTATGTTGGCAAGCATTTTTGGATCCCAAAAACGTACAGCACCACCTATAATTGCGAATCGAGATTGGAGGACTCCGAATGCCCGCTCTACATCTTTCCTGGCAGACTCTTGCATCATTGCAAAATGTTGTCTCTTTGCTCCTTGGGGAGAAGAAATTGTTTGAACCAGTGTTTCCCATTGCGGGTATATACCATCAGCAAGGTAATAACCCATATCGTAACTATGTCCATTAATAGTGTAGTGGACAGAGGGAGCCTTACCTTGGGCAAGATCAGAAAACAAAGGTGACCGGTCTAATACATTCAAGTCATTGTGTGACCCAGGCATTCCAAAAAATGCATGCCAAATCCATAAGTCATAAGAAGCTACTGCTTCAAGAATAATGGTTGGCTTTTTTTGATGGCCTACGTATTGACCTTGCCATGCTTTTGGACAATTTTTCCACTCCCAATGCATGCAATCTAAACTTCCCAACATACCCGGAAACCCCCGAACCTCACCAATAGCAAGTAACCTAGCAATGTTAGTTGGTGTCGGAGATCTCAGATATTCTACTCCAAAGATTTCAATCACTGAATAACAAAATTGTTGCTACCTTTGAATCGCAGTGTTTTCCCCAATACGTATGTAATCATCAACTGCATCTGCTGCAACACCGTATGATAATATTCTCATCGCTGAAGTCATTTTTTGTAGGGCAGATAATCCAACTACATGAGCTGCATCTTGTTTTTGAATAAAATCTGAATTGTGTGCTTCGATTACATTCAAAATTCGCAAATACAAAGGACGACGCATTCGAAAACGTCTCCAAAATATTGTAGCTGAATACACTGGATTTGCAGCAAAATAATCTGCAAACAATCTGTCATGACCTTGCCTTCTATCTCTGCGTATATACTTGTGACCTACAACAGAACCCCCTATTTTCTTTGAGCTATCACTTGACTTAAGAATCTGAAGCATACTACTGGTATTCTGCTCATAAGCTGCTAAAAGTGTGATCATATATTCATCATCAGACTCCTCATCAGAGGAGGAGGAAGAAGAAGAGGATGAAAATGAAGTAAATATCATGGATTTCAAAGTATCCATTATCCTCTGTTTTGTTTAAGATATAATCCTTGTGTTTAAGCTATGATCCTTGTGGAGTTGTCTGGCATATAAATAATAATGTGTTTATATGAGATTTTAGAAGAAAATGGTAAACCAATGAAGGGAAAAACAAATAGGAAAAGAATTAGGAACAGAAATGGAGAGAAATCAAAAAAATAAAATAAAATAAAATAAAGATTACCGGTTGACCGGCCGGTCAACCAACTGGTCGCCCCCTACCAGTTCACATCGGTCAGTTCACGTTGGTTGGTTCAAACAGTTCAGTAGTTGGTTCAAACAGTTCAGAAACGTTAAAAAAAAAAAATTCCTCTAACCGGTCGACCGGTCCGGTTGTCCTGAATGAGATTTGATGAAGGTGAACCGTTGGAACGTGAAGTATCAAATTAAGGAAATGGCCATTTTTTAACTCAGATTTGGTGAAACATTAGGTGAACCGTTGGAGATGCTCTAAGAAGAATTACATCAATAAAGAGGAGCTTGGAGCTTAAACAAGCTCCAACCTCCAAGTTGGTGAGAAACCAACGAGCAAAACCAACAGAGCAAAAGACCAGAAAATCAGCTAAGGGAAATTGCAGTCCAAAGCAAATAAGAAGTTTTTTTTTTAATTGATACTTATATTCTACGAATAAATACTGAGTGTAGCGATAAGATCATTTTACATTTCGATCAATAAAAAACAGCAAATAGAATTAAATAGGCATCCATTGCCTCCCGCATGCAAATGGGATTGAGTGGGAATTGCAAATCAACGAGAAGAAGTGAAATAATTGGAAAAAAGTTTTTAAAAGTTAAAATACCTTTTACATATTAGAGATCAGATTGACACAATTTAACTATTTGAGGCCAAATCGAAGCACTTTTATACATTTGGGATTAAATTGTCACAATTTAAATATTGGGGACCAAAATGACTCATGACTTGTACTTTGAGAACAAAAAATATAATTAACCCTATTTTTGTAACCAGATAACATAATCAAATACAAAGGAAAATTCTTGGCAAATATCATTTGTCAAATTGCAATTAAGAAAATGAAAAAAAAAATGCCCATTTCTTTTTTGAGAGTTGCCTTTGAATTCTTGTGCTTTTAAGTGTAGACAATAAACAAAAACAATTGAAAGTTATTATAAATAGAACTATAACATACTGAAAAATCCCTCATAAAAATATAAATACCTACCAAATTGAATATTTTTTAGAAAATTGCTAGAATTGTACATTTTGTTGTATAAAATATGAAATATTATGATTTGGATGGCAATATATATATATACATATATATATCCATGTCAATTTCTCGTATTTTATTAATATCAAAATTGTGAATAAAAAATTTCACAATTATTATATTGATCCCTTATTTGTGCCTCTATTCCAACAGCCGGGCAACTAGCTATTGAAGGGTTTCAAATTTTATTTTTTTTTAATTTTGTTTTCTTTCATTCAATTGATGGACATTACCCTAGAGCTTCAATATTAATATAATACTTATTTGACTCATAATTATAAAATATGTAGGAAAATTGATGATCACTCATTTCATTTTTCTAGAACTCACTAAAATAAAGGAACATAAATCAGTTTGTTAGGCTATAGCTGTTCATAAATAAAGTAATAAGATAAATGGTGTGATGACACCCATTTTTTTTATACATATCAATAATTGCTTGAAATTATCTAACCTAAAGGTCACATGATTCTTTTTTCTTTTTCAATGCTCAAGAAACTACTAGTATAGTAGAGAAATGGTTTAAAATTTTAGATACAAATTGGGAACAAAAGATATCTAAGTAGCAATCCAAAGAACTAAAAATGAATTATGTAAACAAAAATTGTATTGACCCCATCTATAGTTGAATAAATGGAAAATAAAAATAAAAGAAAGTTTTAGATCCTACTATCTTAAACCAATTAAGTGGCAAAATTGGGCTTCAAAAACCTACGCAAATGTCAAAAGAAAAAAAGAAAAAAAATGAACTCGTGATCTCCGTCCCTCTATCTTAATGCATTTCTATTCATAAAACAATGTATAACTCTTTTTATAAAAAAAAATGGCAATATAGAAATCAATTACAGAATCGAACATAACTCACTCATATGTAATAAATTTCTTCTTTTTATGAGTCTCATACTCATGTAATAGGATTATATCTAGTTCTATGAATGGTTTCTACACAACAACTAGAAGAAATAAATAATAAAAAAAAAAATTAGACACAAAAATCTCAAAGTGTAATGTAATAATTTGAGACAGAAGATCACGTGTCTCCTAAAGTTAGAAATTTGAAAATAAATCATCTAATACGTCCAAAAAATATACAATTATCAGTTTGATGCCTTATGAAACTTAAGTCAAATCCTAAAAAATAAAAAATATGAAAATCTAGCAAATTCTAATTCAATTATCAAAATGACTAATCACGTGTGAATGCAATTGAGCCACGTATATGATAATTATTTCATTTATAACCCTAAACTACTCAACCCTAGCAATTAGCATTTTATAATAGCAAGTTAGGTAATTGCAAGTAACACATTCTTTGATTAATTCAAAAAAGTGTTGTGGAAAGATTAGTGAAGTCTTAAAGCAAATCACAAAAGAATTCAAATATGTTGACTATTGCCTAACTCAAAATCATCTTTATCCCTTAGTTCCCGGGCTTTTCAACCAACCGTTCCATGCCACGTGTAACTGTCACTTTACACGGCCACATGTTGGAATTAGAGAAACATGACCCACAATTTAGCCAGCTCAGCTTAATCTGAGCGTAAAAGTCAACCCTCGAGTTAATTAAATTAATCAGGGTTTGGTTAGAAGTTGCCAAGTGGATGAGTCAGTTAGGTTTGGATCGGGTGTGGCGGCACTGTCAATTCCTTTTTCTGCAAGCTGAGGTGGCAGATATGGACGTTGGACTATTTTAGTAAATCTGAACCGTCCGATTGTCAGGTGACCGAAATTTTTGAAATTTCAGTGTTTATCAGAGCTGACACGCGTCCATCAATATTTCTATTTTGTTTCCTGAAAAGCAAAGGTCACTTTGTGGTTGTTTGGGAAATTATTATTTTAGTAGGTTATTTTAATTTTTGATTATTTTAATAGGTTAAAATTTTTATGTTTGAAAAAATAGTTAGATTTTTTTTATAGTTTAAAAGTGATGTTTGTAAGAGAAAAAATAAAATAATTCTGATTTTGATGTGACATTTCATCTTATTAACTATATTGTTTTAGCCTATTTTATTTTTTATAAATTTTAGCCAAGAAAAGCTAAAATTCAACTCGTTAAATTGGGTGTTTGGGAGGAAGTTTGGCTAAAATAACCTATTAAAAGATAAAATAAATTAAAATAATTAATAAGATAAAATGTGATATTCAATTCATAATTATTTTACTTTTTTCTTCATAACTATCAAATTAACTAAAAAAAAAAGCCCAACCAACTTCTCAAACATAATTTTTTTAACCAAATTAAAATAATTAAAAAAATCAAATAATCAATTAAAATAGACAACTTCACTCACAAGGCCTATATATATATAAATATATATATAAAGCATTCTGCAAATGTGGTGCAGGCTAAGCCATCAAAGGTGATGCTTAAAGCATTCTATAAGTGTGGTGCGCGCTAAGCCATCAAAGGTGATGCTGTAGGCCTTCGGCCCATTTATTTTCAAAGATAAAATGTGAAAGATTGGCAGTGAGGAAATTATTAGTGAGATCTCATTTATTTTGGGAGATAGAGAGAAAATTGGGATTGAGATAGAGATGGAAGTGGAGGTGGAGGTGGAGGTGAGACTCATTAATATTGTGTTTTTTTGAGAGATATAGAGGGGATTCATAATCTCTTCCAGATTATGATGGGCATTGAGGAGGGGATTAAGATGAATGATTGGAACTTGGTATTAGAAAATAGTCTGTCAAACAATTTTATTTTTTTTATTGTTTATATGTTGGCATTTTTTTTGAATATTAATGTTTAATTTTTTATATTTTATATTTTTGTTAAGTAAAAAGCATAACTTTTTTTTGTTTTATTTTTATTTTATTTTTTATTTTTTACATGTTGGGTATTTTTTTTGAACATTAATGTTTAATGTTTTTGTATTTTTTTTTATTATTTTATATAAAAATAATTTAACAATCTTTACACCAACAATTATCATCAAAACAAACGCAATTTTACTTAATCTCTTCACTATCAATCCCCTCACTAACAATTCTCTCATTATTAATCCTCTCACCACGAATCCCCTCCATTCTACTTTTGAAAACAAACAGGTGAGGGGAATTGATAGTGAGGGAATTAGTAAAATTGTATTTATTTTGATGATAGTTGTTAGTGTGAGAATTGCTAAATTATTTTTATATAAAATAATAACACAAATAAAATTATGATTTTTACTTAACAAAAAATATAAAATCATTATACATTAATGTTCAAAAAAAAAAATGCCCAACATGTATAAAAGAAAAAATATTGTTGTTAACCATTTGACTGGCCGGACGTCCCGGTGGATGACCGGTAACTCAGTAAGCCGACGGACTATTTTCTAATGCCACATCTTCACCCAGACTAACAATCTGCTCGCCCAAGGCCTATCCTAATCCGGACAGACTATCAATCCGAAGGGCCACAAACAAAACAAACGTAAGCTAAGCTTATTGTTCATCCATTATAGTCCAAAGTGGATTGCTACTCTGAAAAACAAACAGGGCCTTTAGGCCACAAATATTACCAAGGTCTCAAATTTTTAAAAATTACGGTTAAAGTCTATATGATTTTATCATTCTTTAATTATAAAAAAAAACCCACTCATTAAGAAAAAGGGCCTAAAATTATTATTTTAAATAAGTAATATTATACAAATAAATATTTTTTTACTAATTTCTTTTACTAATTGAAATAAATCTATAATAAGAGTAATGATATACAAATTAAAAAATATTACAAATATTTCGTACTCTTTGATATAGCATCTT